GTGTCTGTGTAAGGGCAGTGCCTTAGCCAGCCCCACCCGTATGTGTGTGCACACTGCCCACGCTCCCACCCTCAGTTTGCAGCTGGGTGCGAGACCCCCTAGCACAGCGGTTCTCCACCTTCCTCATGCTGCGACCCTTTCATACGGCTCCTCATGTGGTGGTGACCCCCCCAACCAGAAAATGATTTTCGTTGCTACTTCATCACTGTCATTTTGCTACTGTGATGAATCGTCATGTAAATATTTGATACGCAGCATGTACGTTCATTGTTACAAACTGAGTATCATTAAAGCATAGTGATTAATCACAAAGCAATATGTAATTGTATATAGCGAACTATTTGCGTTTTCCAATGGTCTTAGGTAACCCCTGTGAAAGGGTCGTTTGATCCCCAAAGAGGTCTCGGCCCCCAGGTTGAGAACCGCTGCTCCAGTGGCCGTCAGACCAAGGCCCTGGCGCCTGTGCCCGACTGTGCAGCAACACCCGGGCCCGGCCCAGTCGGCTGTGCCAGCGCTCACCTGCCCTGGTGCCATTGTTGGCAATGAAGCCGGCCAGGTCCGTGGTCTTGCCGTCGATGGAGAGGTTCCGCATGCAGCCCACGAACTGCCGGTTGTGCACTGGGAAGGCCTCAGGCAGGTTGGGGACGCCCCCCAGGAGAAGGGGGCCCGTCAGGTCCAGGGACCTGGGGAGGCAAGGCCACCACCTTGAGGGCCAACTCGGGGAGGCCAGGGGACCCGTGCCTCGGTTTACCCACATGTGCTGACATCCCGACAAGCTGCAGGCTTGGGGTTAGCTCACTCTGGTCCACGCAGCCCATCTCCCAGGGCGTGGCGCCCACGGAGCCAGCCGCCAGCGAACTCACGACCCCTGCTTGGGGACCCCCACAGGAAGAGCGGTGAGGCTGGCTGCGCTGTGGGCCTCAGGGCAAGGCGCCAATCTCCCTGGGGCACAGTCCCACCTGCATCACAGGTGGGTGGGGAGCAGACCAAACAGGCATAGGATCCGAGAAGGCCCACGTCAGATGGCCTACACACATTTTAAAGAATACGTCTGTCCTGGGAGAAGGACAGCCAGAATGCTCGTTAGAGGCAAGGATGGCGAGACTGTCTCACACATGTACTTGGACACGTCGGGAGAGACCAGTCCCCTGAGAAGGATGTCAAGTTTTATAAGGTGTGGGGGGGGGGGGCAGTGAAAAAGAGGAAGACCCTCCACCAGGTGGGTGGACACAGTGGCTGCACCAATGGGCTCAATCATGGGAACCGCTGTGTGGCTGGTGAGGGGCTGTGCTGTGCTCGGTGCTGTGGCTCGTGGGGTTGCTGGGGGTCCTGCTGACTCAACAGCGCCTAGGCAACACCATGGACGGGGTCCTGCAATGGCCAAGCAGAAGCCAGGCCAGCGGGAAGGACAAGGGCAGGCTCTGGAGGCCACACGTGCTGAGGTCAGCCTTGGCCCCTGGGTCAGAGGAGCCCGGAGGATGCCCAGACCCAGGAAGTGAAATGAGAAAGCCAACCCTGGTGAAGGCAGGCAGGGCGGAGGGCAGCGGCAGAGCCCAGGGCTGGCGGGGGCCACCAGGGCACGTGTTGTGAAGCAGGGCTTCCCGGAGTGGGGATTAGGTCCTGAGGGGCACTGGAATGATCCAGGGGGCTGTGAAAGCAGACCCCTGCCCTTTCTCCTTGGTTCTGGGCTACAGAAGAGCGTTTTTCATTTCCAGGTTGGGGGAAGAGGGTACTGAGTCATTTGTTTTTCTGAAAAAGGGGTGGTAGGCCCTCTCAGTTTGGGAACCCAGGTTCTAAGGGGACCTGTTCTAGAAGGTTCTGCCGTGTCAGAGGGGGTATCTCCCGACTCAAGGAGGGAGTCTGGCAGCAGCATGGATCAGGTCTGAGGGCTGGCTGTATGTAGTGGTGGCCATGGAAGGTTCTGGAAGCCCTGCCTGGGTGCTCACTTCTTGGAGCCGCTCTGAGTGCCCTGGGAGGCACAGCTGTAGTTCCCGACGTAGTTGCCGAAGCGCACGGCCACAGTGCTGTCGCAGTCATCCACGGTGACCACTGCCACCTTCTCCCCAGATGGCCCATGGGGCAGCCCCAGGCGGCCGATGTGAGGCTGTGGGGGAGAGAGACAGCAGCGTCAGTGCATGCCCCCAGCATGCTCGGGGAGGACGCAGGGACCCCTCCTGGGCTCCCGCAAACGCATCCCCTAACCATACCCTTAGGAAGGGGGGAGTGGGGAAGGAGGGGGAAATGAGGAGCTGATACCAAGGGCTTAAGTAGAAAGCAAATGTCTTGGGAATGATGAGGGTAACAAATGTACAAATGTGCTTGACATACAATGGATGGATGGATGGATGGTGATAAAAGTTCTATGAGCCCCCAGCACATGGGTGAAGGTCTGGCCCCCCATTTGGAAACAGGGTATTTGGTTTGTTGATGATGCTGAGTTATTCGGGTGGGTCGGGCACCCGTGTACTTCTGAGAGGTCACAGGACCAGGCAGACACCCAGGGGACCGGCTCCGCCAGGAAGAGGGTCTGACTTCCAGCCCCCAGGACCAGAAACAACATCCCTGCAGGTGTGGCAGTACCGGGGACTCAGACGCCAGCTGAGTCCTGAGACCCCTCCAGAGGGTCTGCTCTGCCCCCCACCGGGTCTGAGTTCTGGAAGGACAAGGTTCCTGCCCGAAGACCCGCCCGGCCCCTCCTCCTCCCTCCTCAATCCAGCCGGGCCAGGGGAGACAGCCCGCCACCCGCTGGCCCGCTCTGCCGCAAGCTTGGGAACGTGGGCAGGTGCCCATTATGGGATGCCAAGTGTCAGGTGCGTGCCCGGGGAAAGGTCGGTCGTCCCCCAGGAGGTGAGTGGGCCCCCAATCCAAGTCATAATTTACATTCCTGGGGGTGGGGGGAGGCGCTAGGAGGAAGGACATAAACAGCACTTACACTTGGGAGCGGTAATGAAGGGAGGCTGCCGCCGACAAAATTACAGCTGCCGCAGCGCCCCAGTATAATCAGGAGCTCGGGCTGCGGGTGGGAAGGGGGCATCTTTAGTGGCATTTGCTGACGGGCACAGCCTGCTGCATCAGAGTGGGCTTGGCTTAGCTGAGGCTGACACGACAGGCCAGGGCAGACCTCCCCCACACACACTCAGGGCCTTGGGCACTAACAGTGGACGTGCCCAGCTACTGCCCGAGAGCTCAGAGGTTTGAGTCTGCCCACGGGTGTCTGGGAAGAAAGGCCTGGTAGTCAGAGGTCAGGCATCAAGAGCCCCCAGAAGCACATTTCAGAAACCCATTGGGGTTGTGTGAACCCCACAGCACCTGCTTCCATTTAACACACACGGCTGGACCCCCACGCCTCATCTCACTGCCCAGCTGGAAGAGGTGGCCCTCTGGCCTCAGAAATGGGGTTAAGGGCTGTGAGGACCTGCAGGGGGAGGTGGGCAGCCCAGGACCAGGAGCTGGGACAGCCTGAGGGGTGTGGTGGTCACAACACCTCTGTCCACTCCTCCCCAAACAGGCATCGCATGGCTACCAGCCACGTAGCCATCTGAGCAGAGCAGGCCACAGGGACGGAGCAGGGACAGTAGAGAGTGCAGATGACGAGGGTGGGGCACACACAGCTGCCACCCCACACAAGCCACATGGCTCAGAGATACGCCTCCAGGTGTCCCCATGCCCACACGGGCCAGCACGTTCACACATGCTCACACGGTCACAGCTCACACGGTCCACACACATCCACAGTGGTCACATGGTCCATACAGTTCACACCATGCACACGATCCACACACCGAGAGAGGCGGACGGGATGGGCAGGGGGAGGCTGGGCGACAGAGGGCAGGAGAAAGGAAGTAAACACAAACCAATCAATACAAAGAGAGACATTCAGACAACACACACAGGAGCGGACAGACCGGAAACGCCAACAAACCAGCTCCCCAGCTCTGAAACTGGGAGTTTCCGGAGAATATGCCGGCTCGTTCTCTCATGCAATAGAGACGGACGGACGTGTGCGACTCTGCAGAGCCGCCGCTCTGTGAAAACACGCTGGTCTTTTAAACGAAAGGAAGAAGAATAAAGAAAGAAAGAAACACACACAGAGACACCAGAGATGGCACGTGTGTGGTTCCGTCGGCCTGCAGGTGCCCGAGTGTGCAGTGGCTAAGCAGGGCTCCGCCCCTCAGGGAGGCCCTGGCACCCAGGATCTCCACCCCGTGCGGGGACTCTCTCCGGCTTCACGCCAGCTGCTCCGGGATTGGATATGTGTGCACAAAAGCACTGGGTTCGAGCCTGTGCGCCCGTTTCTGAGGCCTGTGACCTGTGGCGGTGGGCAGCTCGGAGCCCAGGCAGAGGGCTCTGGTTTCAATTGCTGGGGGGGCGGGCTGTGAAATCAGACACCCTGGAGGGCGAGTTTTAAGAAAGATGGGGCTCCCACTCGTGTGGGCAATGATTAACCAGTGCGCCTCTCGGGCATGCCATAGGCCGCCACGCTTGGGGAATGTGTCACACATGGGCGGTCAGCTCACTGCTGCCCCCCGGGGGCTCTGTCCAGAGGGACTCTGACAGGGGCCCAAGCTGTGAGCTAGGACTCAGTGGACAGACAGCAGAAAACACTCCCCCCCCCACTTGCTTATTGGGGCTCAGGGAACCTCTGCCAGTCTCCAATGGCAAGTCCAGGTGCTACTTTAACACTTATAGGTACCCCCGCCCCACAGTAACACTCACACCCACACAGTAACACTTATCCCCCTCCACACTGGCATACAGACACATACCCACGCTCACACACACACTGACACTCCACACGTACACACTCATACAGGGTCACATGTACACTCTCCCTCTCACATGCACACAAATGGTCACACACACACACA